AGAGGAAAGGGAAGCCTGCGCGGTTGCCAGGGGCTATGAATGGATGTAGAAAGTAGGATATGTGTGCAGGTTACGCAAGTTATATCAGATCGTTTTTATAGCTCTGTTAATTTAAACTCTTAAGATGTACCTGAAGCAAAACCTAATTAAAGCCTGAGGAACCAGAGAAATGTGCAGCTTTAAATTATTGCTAGTTTAAGTTCAGTTTAAGTGAGAAGATGTGGAGAAATGCAGAGATTGATCAGGATGATGGTACCCGGTGTAACCAGGATCCACCTCACTTTGATGCTCCACACTGAATGAACTCGGTCTTATTTCCATAAGCCTGACTGGCTAATACTTGATTGGTATTCTGTTGCCAGCCTCGGCCCGCTCTTCGATAAGCCTTCCGCGTACACAGCAAGAGCCCTCAGCATGATCTCATTTCCTGTCTCCCCACCACCACAAACAAACGCCGTCAAAGAAACAATTGTTCTGCTCATGCTACCATTGTTCATGGAGCTGCTGTTGTCCCTCTAATATTCACTCACATTCGCAGTAGAAAAATGCCAAACCTAAAATCTTTACACAGAAACGCCTGCGACCATCAGTTCTGGATGTCGAGGGTGTCTGGATGAGGTCACGCTGTGCTTTGTGCGGCATACTCGCAGGCACGGATGGTGCAGATGCTCAAAAACATAACCTGCCTGTGGAGTGGTGATAACTACAGCCAAACAAAGGCCTTTAATGTCAGACTCAGGCTTTGCTTTACAGGGAGCTTTGAATGTATAAATGCCTGTGACGGTGTGTAATCTGATGATTTATATCCACATACCTTTAGAAGATGTATAAAATGACATGCAGATAAAATATTTAAGTGCAGTTTATCCAGAAAAGTTCTCTGTAAATTCTTTGTAAGTATGGCTTTAGAATAACATGTTTATTTCTTTAACCTCTGGGTAGTTTATTGTTATTAATAAGTCAATACTTTGAACAAGGACACAAAATTAAATGTAATCAAAGCAGAGAAGTCATTTAAAAACCAGGTGGAAAACCATCCATTGTTAACACATTTGAAATGTTAGTTTTTTTTTCTGTTCCTTTGATGCATCTTTCTTTTCAACATTAATCAGGCTTAACAATAGGATTTGTCGCAGCATGAAGCCCTCGCCGCTTCCAGACGCCTGAAGCTATGGTATCGGGCTCCAAGATGTTTGCAGATGATCCTTTTACTCTTTGAAGGATTAAAGTTTGGACTTTTGTCCAGGACATCTTAAGTATTGTTGATTGGATCAGAGTTTTGGCACTCTGAGGCCATAATTAATTCCCCCAAATCTGATTTGCTCATCAAACATTTTGTAAATTATTTTCACCTTGTATTATGGTGCAATTATTTATTTATTTTTTCCTGCTGAAAGAAAGCAGTTATCAGTTACTACTAGTGCTGCACCGATGCTGATACTAGTATCTGGCAGGGCCCCAATACTGCACTAAAATGGTTGCCTGATAAACCAGACTAAATGTGAGATTAAATGTCTAAATTAGTCTGGCCCATATTTGCAACATTGGGAGATTGTTGATGAGAACAACCCGTTATTTTTCAAACCATGTCTGTGCCTATTGGCTAACGCTCTGACCAATGAGCGCAACTGACTGACGTAGTAAACGCGACAGAAAACTGGTGTGGGAGTGTAAATTAACAGCCTGTCAGTAAAACGGCGAATACGTCCTTCTTAAAAATGAAGAGTGTAGAGCCTCTTCCTGTGCATGTTTTAATAAAAACCCCAAGTCTAATCCTTCCAAAACTGAATCCAAAGCTGAGTCAAACGTTCAATAGTTGTTGCTTTCTCCAACGTTGCGTAGCTTTGTCGTCACACCCTCAAAACCCCACCCGCTTTGCATCCAGAAGTTCAAAACACATCTCTGGGTTATGAGTGGCCCGCCAGTTCTAGGGCCTGGGGCATTGATTGAGGCTAGACTACCCAAAGGTAAAAATAATTTTGGCCGCTAGCGGGTGGCGCTACTTAGGCTTACTAGGCTACTACTAGGCTACTAAAATGGTGGTATCGGTGAGTACCGACAAATAGGGCACTGATACCATTTTGAGAGACAAAAGTTTATTTAACTATTGTCACCAATTTCAGATAGGCAGTAAAAAGTTCTACTGGGTTCACTTTGTATTAGTCTTTTTCCTGCTTCACAAAGGTAGGCAGCAGCTTGACAAAGCCATGATTATTATTTATTTATTTATTTTACATCCAAGTAGTATTCAGTTCTTCATCTATATATATATATATATATATATATATACATACACACGCACATCAATTTCAAACGTATGATGGTATCGGTATCGGCTGATACTGCACAGCCAGGTATCGGTATCTGGGCCATAAAATGGCATCAGCGCAACACTAGTTACTGCTTAAGGATATAAGAGTGTAGCTCACCTGTTGGATCAGACCTCACATGCCAAGCTTTCACTTCACACACAGATCGGTGTGCCGTCTCCACCACGACCCTGTCGTTGGTTGACCACGGCTCTCTGCTTAAACGTGTTTTAAATAGATGACTACAGACCCCCCACTAGAGCTACGTTCTCTGGAGATGATCTGAACCAGTAGTTTAGCCCATTTGCCCAGTTTTCTTGATTCTATCTAACCAACTTTGAAGAAAAAAATGCATCCCCCTTACGAACGGGCGCAGTGAAGGAGAGATAGTCAGTGTTATTCACCTGTCAGTGTCGGTATGAACGTTTGAGTTGATGCTGGTTAATATATCAGCATGTTGTGGTGAGTTTTGAAGCTGAAACATTGTGGTTGAATATACTCCTGATTGAAAGCTTTCCCAGACACAGCACCTGCTCCCTCTGATCTCCATAGATGAAAAAGAGCTGTGCTACATGTGCTGGATGTGTTGGTGCTGAAATATTTAGCTTCTGTCCTCAGCCGAAGAGGGTCAACTCACCCAGCCTCGCTGCTCTTCATGTCTCTCTTCTTGCCTCCATCAGGCCGCTGCTGTCTGTCATGTACGATAATCATCAACATTTCTGTCCCTGCGAACACTTTCTGCCAACACTTGTACAGAGATATTAGTGATTATGAGCTGTGCACAGAGCAGGACATAGAAGTGTGCTCTGCAGCCTTTTAGGATATTTACTGCCAGTCGGAGCCTCAGACTCTAAATTGGAAATGATTGCTTTCCTTCTCCGGTCCTTTGGATGTGTAGAGCTTAATTTGTGATTCACGTTATTTATTTAGTATATTCAGGTTTGTATGTGTAATGGGATTTTTAAATTGATGATAAAGAAAAAAAAAAATGTTTGCTATAACAGGTAACTGTAAGCAAATAAGAAAACCTGCCTGCAGTGCAGGAAGTTGAACAACACCCGTGACATTGTCACTGTAGCTTGAGTCTCACTCTTTGTTGTGTTGGAGTACCTTTCTAAAGCTCTGAGCAAAGGGCTCAGCCTTGTTTACCTTGGTTCTGTGATGCAGAGAGACAGCCGAGTTCTGAGCTTTCTGAGGATGGGCCTGTGTTTACCTACGAGCTAGAAGCAGACCCATGTACTGACCTCCGAGGACGGATGTCCTCACATCCCTCTGTTGGCGCACACTGCAGAATGTACCCTCGCCACTACTTCTCTGATTAGAGTTAATCAAACGGACAGTTGCCTTGTGACAAAGAAACATGCTTCCAGCCTGCGTGGCCACATGCTCTGATTATCTGTAGGGTGACCCGCATCGTTCTAGCCATTGGACGGCTTCTTCTTCATGGAGACTGTTCCCTTTAAAGGACAGGAGAACAGCCTGGAGTTTTGGATACTCCTCATTAGTATGGATTCAAACTGGGTTTGAAAATTAGGAAAACTCCAGTTCTTCAATAACCTTGATTGTTCCTTACTGTGTGGTCCCAAACCTATCAATGTTTTTCAACATGTGGAGACGCCCAAGAAATACATAAGCTGGGATGCTATTTCCGTTTTGCATGCTTTTAGATGTTTCTCTGCTAAAACGGTTAATCAGCCAGCAATGGAAACCAGATGCACAAATTCTGGGAAACATTTACAACCTGCAGGATTGGGACTTCTGAGGACCAGAGTAGAAAACGCTGAGTTAGATAACATTATAGTAACACTAAGGGTCTAACGGTTAAGCAGAACTGACGGACATGTTTCTGCGGCTACGAGAGGCATGACTGACAGCTATTAATAGGTGTGATTTCTACCAGTGAAATAATGATTACACTTCGTAACTGAGGTGTTTTCACTCTTAACCTTCTGGAAAGGTTTAACAGTAATCAAATTCCACTGATATTGATGAGGCATAACTCCTCTATTCATTCTGAAAATGAATTAAAACAACCTCTATCTTAGTAAGGTTTAATTATTTACTTATTCATTTATTTATTTTAATTTCTTAAAATAAGATCGACTCCACAGAGGATCGTTAACTCTGCTTCAGATGTTCGTTTGTATCAAACTCAAATCAGTTTAGAATTCACATTTCCCGCGGGGCCTTGCTTTAATTTGTAACTCAGGTTTCAGAACAGCATTTCCATTCTTACATTTCTGGTTTAAAATCCCTAAAAATGGTTTTGATGAGCGTTGCTCTCTCCGCCCCCCACAGATGTTAATATTTCATGCTGCATTTAATTCATCAAATTAATATCTCCCCTAAGGTTCGGTGATTTTAATGTGTTTGAATAAAAGCAATATAAAACCCTGATATTCATCAGTGGCTGGGTTTTACTGTTTGCAAACAAAAACACATTTCTACTGTTGCATGATTTCAAGTTAATGGCAATAAAAACAGAGTTTAAATTAAGATATGAATAAAAAAAAATGCATAAAATCTTTTACAATCTTCTCCATTAGATAGTAATACAAGAGCTGCTCTTCTGATTCATAAAAATGTCTTAAGATCATTATAATGTCACTTATAGAAACCAGATCAGCCCTGTTGTTCAGCCCTTCTTTATTTGTAGGAGACTCACCAGTTTATCTCCTTTTCTGTTCACAGTATAACTTTGTGGGAAGAATCCTTGGTCCCCGGGGACTCACTGCCAAACAGCTGGAAGCAGAGACGGGATGCAAAATCATGGTGCGAGGAAAGAGCTCCATGAGAGACAAGAAGAAGGTAAGCTCATCAGCCTGGGGTGGACAGAAAGGGATTCCCAGATTCTTCATTAGTAATCCAACATTTTGCTTTGCAGCAAACTCTAAATAGGCTTATGTTCGCCTAACTATGATTTAGTATCTCATTGGGAATGTTACTCCACATTGAGAAATTTGGGGGTATGCTGGTCACACCAGAACCATACAGTAAGCCTTCAGGTACCATGAGCCGGGTAGCTCTCTGTAGATGAGGCTGTCTGACGTCTGATAGTGCTGTTTGCAAAACGCAGTAGAAATGCAGGAGGCAGTCGTAGCGGCTGATGCCAGGGGCAGCATCTGTATCTGGAGCCTCTGTGCTAAGATTGGAAGCATCAAAATAAACTGATGCAGTCTTAAAGTTTAAGTATTTTTTTCCTTCTGAAGCTTTCATAAGATTCACACCATTAAAAAATAAAGCTGAAATCAGATCATTTAATGTTATGCACTGTATCATACTACAATCATGGAAACTAATGTAATGTTCAAACTTTGGATACCTTTGTTTTAGTGCTTAAGCAGTTTGCAGTGCATACCTGAACAGACACGTACATCTCTATCAGGGTATAAACAGGGTTTCCACGGGTCATTAAAAATCATTAAGTCACTAAAATTTAATTTTAAATAAAGCATTTTAAATAGTTTATAAAAAAAAAAAAAAAGTTTATAAAAACAATTTCGTCAGATATATTATATCGCAATATATTTGCGCGAAACGGCTTCCGGTTGATTGTAAAGCCGAATGTACGGAAAAGAAGCTTGCGGCGAAAAAAAAAAACTAGAGAATGGGGAAAATGCTAATTTCAACAAAAGTGATTAGAAAACGAGAAATTCAGGACGTGGAATTCAGGATAGATGGATAGATATATTAGTCATGGGTAATTGTTGATTGCATTAGCATTATTTCTAATAGCATTAAAATAGAGTTACTTTTTCCTGTATAAACCCTAATTATGGACGTGACACCAACTACACTCGGATTTTGCTTTAGGAAGCGATAGCAGACACAGGACTTTAGTTAGAGAAGTCTAATGAAAGGCTAGATGTTGTTAGTGGGGAACATGTAGTTCAGGCCCCGTCCACACGAAGTCAAAACGAACACGAAACGCTGATATTTTCCAAAACGTTTGCCGTAAAGACGGAGACGTAAAATAAATGTGAGCATCCACACGAATGCATGAAAACGCTGCAAAATGTATGCAAGGCCTGTAAGTGGCGCTGTGATGCCAAAGCAAAAACAAGCGACGAAATGTTGGGCATGGCACTAATATTTATACATGGTTGCCCTGCGGGTCCATTTTCGTGGTTAAGTCAAATTCAGGTGCTGAACTATGTCGTCGATATTGCTCTGTTCTTCCTGGAGATATTCCAGAAGAAGAAGATTCTGTTGTAAGCCCGACAGCAGGGTGAGTAGCATTAGCAGCAACGGCGCCATTGTTGTTGTGATGTGTCGCGCATGCATGTTTAGAGGCGACGCTATGACGCATGCGTGTAAAAAAAAATATGCGGTTAGAGCGTAAAGATGGAAACGCGAAAACGGCGTTTCGAAATCTTCCCACTCTGAAGGCTGAATAAAAAAAAGATCGTTTACAGACCCCCGAAACGCCGGCTTCGTGTGGATGAGAGGCTGGTTTGGTGAAAAATTTGTGCGTTTAGGCCAGGGTTCGTCTTCGTGTGGACGGGGCCTCAGACACGCTTACTTGAAGTATTTAGCAGTGGCATTTTGTAGCTCAGCCTTTTCCCTGTGGAGGGTTTGAACACAGCTCTGCTGGGCCACTGTCACTGCAGCAGTGCTCTCCATGTCCATGCTGGCTTCAATCCAATCAATCCACTTTATTTGTATAGCAGATTTAACAACAAAACATGTTTCCAATGTGCTGTACATAAAAAAAAAAACACTAAAAAGCTGTAAGAGTTTACAATAAATAAATAAAAAGGACACAGAGGACCACACAATTACACTGTGTTAAAAGCCAAGGAATATAAGTGGGTTGTAAAACACTCCGCTGTGGAGGAAGTTCTTATATGGAGGTCAAAAGTATTCCAAAGTTTGAGGCCAAGAACAGAAAGGGCTCCGTCCCTCTGGTTTTAAGTCTCGTCTTAAGTACTATTGGGTGCAGATGTGAAGATGGCCCTCATATCATGTGCCGGAGAGTAAACCTGGAGGAGATTGGTAATGTATTGAGGAGCCATCCCATTCAAAGCTCTAAACACAACAATAACATCTTAAAATCAATTCTAAAATAAACTGGGAGCCAGTGCAGAGACGCAACAATTGGCGTAATGTGTTGATATTTTCTGGTTCGCGCTAAAAGACGAGCCGCTGCGCTTTGGACTAACTGCATCATAGCTTCTCTGTACGCTGTCCCTTTGAAAAGCTGTAACATGAAAATGAATAGAAATAAACACATGTACTATATGTAATTAATTTATGGTGCGATCTACCAATAAAATGTTTAGATCAAATATTGAAAAAAGGACAGTAATTCAATAAGATGCACCTTAAGCAGAGCATTTTATGCCCCCTGTTTGCTCTGCTCTGCCAGACAGGGGAGCCATATTACAGTGCATTCAACTAAGTCAGAGCTTTCTATGGACTGGCGGGCACCTTCTCTGCATACACCCCCCCCACCCCATCGGGAAATCCTGACCGTCCCCAAGTGGATGAAAACACAAAGCGACACAGAATTTCAGTTGAGTCATAATCTTAGAAATGCCACTTTGCTGCAGGGGCACAAATTTCATCCCTATTCTTCTCTCTCCTGCCTCTGTCATTTTTATCCATCCCCCCATTTCTTTCCCTGGAATATGTTTTATAGCAGAGTGTGTTGAAGACGCCCCTCAAGGTTTATTTTTACTTTGAATTGAACTCTGAAATGGTTAAATGAGAGAGAATCATTAAGCAGACACGTCTTCAGACACATTCTTTAGATATTAGTCTTACTTCATTACAGAAATCTATGATTTTGTACCTAATCTCCATCTCTTCTGAAGCTTAATGATGCGTGCCAGTTTAAGTATTTCTTGTGTGTCTACAGCTTCGGTCTGGCTGACAGAAAGCACATTATACTCAAAGAGTTGACAGATGCACACAAAAGGCATAGTTTTTCTTTAGAGATTAGATCAAGTGACAGGATGAGCTAAAATCTAAAGTATATTACCTTCTTCAGGATATTCCTTTCTATATTAGCAACTTATGAGGTTTTATTGGAAACGGGTTCCTTTCTACTACTGATGCACTTATTGGTCTTTTCCAACCTGATAGTAGTTTTCCCAAGGTCTGGTCTTCTGATTTTAATGCTGCTTGAAAGCTGAATCTTCATGTTATTTGTGTTTATAAAAATACAATATTTAATCTTGTTGTGCTCCAGCTTTTCTGTTCCAAATCAACCCAAAAAGGGCTGGCCAATCATGTTGCAGTATTATGGTTTAAGGCAGGTTGTATAGCTGTGATGGCAACAAAAAAAAAAAAAAAAAGAGCTCAAAATAAATGTCTGCTAAATGTCCCTCCCTTCCCACATTAATATTGCACAAAACAAAACCTGATGTTAAACGTTAGAGGCTGTCTTAAACTGTTTTCTTCTTCTTCCTCCATTCATACATTTAAAAAAATGCAACAATAACAATTGTTACCAAGTGTGAGATTAAATGAAAAAGAAAAATTCATTAACAAATAAATCAAAACAATAACAGTGGAAAGCAGTTAGCGGCTGACCTCGAGGCACAGCTGCTGGATGCACTAATAAAACGGCCGACACATTCACATATCGGCTGATACAGACACAGGCAAAAACAAAAAACAAAAACGTTAATATCAGCCAAAAATATCGTCTGGCTGATATATATCCGTCCATCTCTACTACACGTTATCAATCTGGCTGTCAGTGTTGCTTCTGATTCACATTCACTTTTTCCTAAGGTCTGTAACACAACAGGATAAAATGTTGGTTCTTTTAAAGCAGAGGAAGTATTTTCTGGAGGATATATAGAAGAATTACAAGATTATCTACATTTATGCATCATTAAATATGCCTCTAGCCCCTTTTTTGAAGTTGCATCAAAGAACAGAGCTAAAGGCTGGAAATACTAGTATTTTTATTTTGAAGTATTTGAATAAAACAAAGCCTTTCAGATCCAATCAGTGTTGGATTCTGAACTGACTGATCTCACATCTGGTTTTCATCCATGAGAAGGAGACAAAGATTTACTATCACGCCTCATAATATCCCATAAAGGAGAGCTTTATAGTGTTAAAGTGGTATTGAGCTGATAAAAATTTATGTGGAGAAGATCCTGTTGTTTCCCAACATTTACATCCATAAGTCAGAATAATGGCTCAAAAGATTTGCTTGCGGGGCCCCAGCAGCCTCTGGATAGAGTACGTCTGCGTCATAGCTGTGGCTCAGCCACAAACAAAGCCGCAGAAGTAGCTTCCAGTCTCTGCATCCTCAACCTCACTATATTCAGCCTGATGCCCTGTGGCAGCAGAGGATGCCACGGCAGCAGCTAAGCCAGTGTGTTTATTCAGGATCCATTAGCGGCAGCATTTTTATGCTCTCAATAATTCAGCTGGTTACTCCCCCTTGGGCCGCACTGCCTGACAGGGAGCCGGCTCACTGGAGCTCCGCTGTGGGAGAGAGGCAAGCAGGCAGAGGGAAATGAGGCAGCGGTGTTACATAAAACACAATAGTGAAAAGGGGACGCAGATTCAGGAAAGGAAATGTATATTAAACCTTTTAAAATGTATGAATAACATTTTCAGGTAGAGCATATCAGACTTGCAGAAATTTAACTTCCAAAAATATTCACATCCATTTTTTGTTTGTTTACTTCTATCCTCTGGAGGGTACTGTTGTAGGTTTCCTGCTAAAATTGATGATTTTCTCTCATATTTTATCAATTGATGTATTTTTGATTATCAATAATATTTGTAGACAAAAAAAAAATAAATTCAGCCCATGCTTTAAGAAAGAGGACCACTGTTAT